CAGGGGTCTCTATGTGGCTTCTCTGGCTCCACAGGTCTGGTTACATCAGGGTAGGTCCATGTGGTTTCTCCAGCTTGTCAGTAGAGTGTCTCTCGGGAAGTGAGCTGAGAAAAGCTCCCCCCCCCCCACCTCTAAGGAGGAAATCAGGATTTCCCAGAATTCCTCAGGAGAAGGCCATGCCCGCACAGAGGCCTCATTGGCTATGACCCGATTGACAGACTAGACTCCACCACTTCACTCTCTCCTCTCAAGTCCCAAATCGACAGATTATATAACTACCACGCCCACTCAATAAACTCAAGAGAAAATATTGTCTTTAACCTACATTAGAAACAACTAAATTGATGATAAGGGGTAGGATTTAATTGTTGCTGAGAATGTGCTTCGGTGGAAAGCAACACTTTTGCTACAAAACAGAATTCTGTAGCCTAACAAGTTCTGATGACAGAGCTGTGAAGTGCTTGGTTGAAAACCTAGAGTGGGCAAGAAACACACAAGCTGTCCCACGGGAGAAAGGTGGGCTTCCCCTTCCCTTAACACTGGATGGACTACCCAGCGAGCTAGTTCAACTTTATCCTATAGTCTCCATGAGTTAGACTGGTCTGCAACAGGCGTCGCTTTTCCTTTTCCTTTCAAATCAATTGTTAAATTGTCTTTATTTGGTGAGGGTTAGTGGTAGCTTGCGATAAGAAGCCCTTGACTAACACAAATCCATGGCATTGCACTGTTCCCAATCTGAGTAATTCTGAGATGACACTAGGACACTGCAGTTTTGGACTTCGGCCACAAGAGAGCAGCATTCTACCATTACTGTGTGCTATGGAGGCGACGCTCTGGGTTGAACAAATGTTATTTAGTGTACAATCATTTTTAATTTTAATACTGGCAGTCTGACAGGACTACTTAATATTGCTGGGTTGACCTTTCCATGGTTTTGTACTAAAGCCTGTTTTGTCCTTTCATACGTTAAATTTTTTTTTTAAACTCTCCTGAAGTCTCTATGTCAGACAGAATACAATTGACTTCACATGTCAGTAAGCTACCATGGTGACTATCAGCCAACAGCTCTGGTCAAAGCAGGTGGTAGAGAGGCAGCATTAGAGGCAGCACTGGTGTCTTGCCCCACAGACGGGCCCCAATGTAAACAGTGTTCTCAGCACGTGTTCAAGGGGACTACTTAGACCACAAGTTTTCAGACTTCCCTAACTTACTGCACCCTTTTCAAAATAGGGGGAAAAATGTACAGGCAATTACAAACGTTTGCACTGTACTCCATAATCCAGGATAAAATGTAAGTACCTACATTTGCAGCAACCCCACCCCACCCCCCAGGTTGTTCCAGAGCCCCTCTAGGACCAGTATCACCCATTTTGGGCAACACTGATTTAGATGTTTCCCCATTTGATTTTCTCTAAACAAAGCCTTGCATCCAGGGGGCACAGGGCAATGAGGTATGGGACGTAAAGTTAATGTCTTGGATTCAGCCCTTGTCTATATCTCTTGGGGACAGAACAGTCAAAATCTTGGGAATGACCTTTCTTAAATGTTTCTAAAAACTACCGTTACTTTGTAAAGATGGAGTGAGCGGCAAGAAGAGTGGATTCGGGACCGGGCTGCTAGCAACAAAGCTGGCAAGTCAAGGCCGCCCCCTGTGAGGAGGGGCCGAGGAAAGCTCTGGTAAAGAGCCAGAGTCCAGGGATCCCACCGGAGCAGTCTTACTCTCTCCACTAGTGGTGCGAGGAGTCCGAATAGGCTTGACAGCGGTGAGTTTGGAGTTTGGTTTTCTCCAATACATTTAAGGCAATTTGCACCATAAAAGATGAATAAAGTGTAAGTAGAGTTGTGGGGAAAATGAACAGCACAGCTACATGAAAGTGGTACAATGTCCTTACCACTGTCATAAAGCCGTGATTTACAGCGCATTCATGTTACTCCAAACTGCCATCCAAACCCTCCCACAACTATAAGAGATGCACTGTCATTAAGCCAAACCAGCTGCCATGAAGTTGAAGCTGGACCATGGGAACCAGACGTGTGTCGGAGGAGAATGTGCTCCTGCGGGCTGACTCTCAGCAGGCCTCCAGGTCTTCCTTCGTAGCTATCTCTGCATAGACTCAGCCATCAGCCCGCCCCAGGGACTCCTGTTCTTACAGTTGCCCCGCGTGAACCGATGAGATGTGACATGAAAGACACCCAGCTACTGGGTGACTGGCAAGTGGACACCAAATCATGATTAAAGCCAAGCAATCCTATTTCAATGTGACAAAATCATTAATCACAAACTATGTGACCCCACAATAGCCCAGTTTAGGGGTGTGGGCATGTGTAGCCTTTAATGAGATAGATGGTGGGTTTAGACACAGCATAATAATTTCAGCCCCTGGTATCAGTGTGGCTAAGGGTTGGGCTGTTAATTGCAAGGCGTTCAGTTCAAAACCACCAGCCACTCCATGGGAGAAAGATGAGGCTTTCTACTCCCATAAAAAGTGACAGTCGTGGAAACTCAAAAGAGCAGTTCTCCCCTGTCCTACAGTGGTGGGAGCCGGTGGCCATGAAGGCCTTAGCCTCAGCCACGAGCCGAACTTGGCTGCTTCCTGGTTGTTAAGTGTGTCTTTCATTTGCTAAATCTGTGGGAACTGGCCCTGCCTGAAATCCCTGCCCAACCCTGCCTCCGCGTTCCTAGCTATGTGCTCCGCGGGCAGTTGTAAAGTTGACCTTTTCACCCATTGGTTAATAATGCCAGGCGCTCATTGGAGCTTCTTTAATGCTCATGTTGGATTGGATGTTGTGTCGCACACCTTATTAAAATATGCACCTCCCAGTCCCCCTTTTATATACCCCAGCTTTGCCCAAATAAATTGAGTTTGATCAGAGTTTTGTCTTGCTCCACGTCTCCGTGTCTTTTTCTCCATCCAGGTTCGTCTTTCCCCACAGAGCCTTGCTCGTGCGTCCCGCAGGCCGGGACGCAACACTACAGGGTCACAATGAGTCAACACTGACTATGATAGTGAGAGTCACTGGGACCATATCAAGACATTTGCAACAAAGGGATGTACATGGATATAAATATACTCTGTCAAACCTATACATACATATAGTCACAGATATATTCTAACTGGCCCTTTCACATGTGTTCAACCTGTGTGTTTTTCCAAGTATAACTTTTGTGATTTGGACAAGGCTCTGCTTCCATAAGGAATAAAAAGAGTTCTAATGAATTGACAAACACGGCATCTATTGTGGATTGGCTAGAAGTGCCTGTATATGGACTACCCCATTCCAGATATACTGATGCCCAGCTTTGTGCAGCATGATTATATTAGTCTGGGTACTTTAGAGAAACAAATCCATAGAAACTCATGTATAAGAGAGAGTTTTATATAAAGGTTAAGTGTGAATCAAGAAAACATCCCAACCCAGTGCTGCCCAAGCCCACAAGTCCAACATTAACCCCTTAACCCATATGTCCAACACCAATCCACAAAGTCCTCCTCCATCTCAAAAAACACACTATGATGCCGACAGCAGGAGGAAAGCTGAGTCAGTGAATGTGTAAACATCTCAGCACTGGCAGGGGTCTCCACACAGGTGCTCCAGCACCCAGGGCTGCATTGGGGTAGGTCCATGTGGCATCAGGGATGTATTTTAGGAAGTGAATCTTGCCAGCTAAAGCAGGGAACTAGCTAAGGCAGCTGCACCCTGGCCCAACCATTAGAAAGCAAGAGACCTGAGAATTAGAAAGGCAAGGTTCACCGAGCCATTTATCCCTTTCCCCATCAATTAACCCCACATGTGTTTATCAGCCAGGTTGGCACAATAAACTAACTACCTCAATTCATCCCTTGTCAACTGGCACGTGTACCTAATTCTTTAGCTTCACAATTGCAATTAAGTAACACCTACACCTTAATCCTATAATCCTGTGAACATGTTCCCCCACCTTTGAAAGTTTATAAGTCAACCACTTCATGCCTTTATCCCCCAAATTTTGAGTATCCAATTTATACACCGCCCACTCATATCAACCCAGTTCTCTGAGAAGACAATCATATTTTTTCGACATGAAGTGCCTCCATTCCAGTTGGAACCTTGTGAAGTCTGCATCCATAAGCAAAGTCAAATCCAGACAGGCCATCCATAAAGTCAGCAACAATATGCACCAGTTCACAGGCTGAAAAATCTCCATCTGGTCAGGTTCTGGTCAACTCATTGTGGGCTGCCTCACTCAGTCTCCACAGGGTGCCCATTGGTCGCCTTGCCTTTAGACGATGGGCTCTCACCAATACTCAACAAGCCTAGCCCCCTTGTGCTAGGTGATGAACTTTAGACCAATCAATCCGCTCTTATCTTCTTCTCCCCCGCCCCCCCTGTAAACCAAGTGCACAGGTGCCAGTGGCCAAACTTAACCCGTCTCTTTATTGCCGCATTTCTCCCACTTCCATTCAACAAGTAGATCCAGGTGGTCACCTAGCAAGCATTTTAGCCTGCTCACAGGCTCCCTTTAACTGTGATTGAGTCTGACCATGGGTCATGGTGCGGATAGGGCTCTTCCTTATTGTCAGACTAAGAGGGCTTCAATTCCAAGTTCTACAGAGAACAAACCTGGAGCAGGTAACAAAGTAAGTCCAGCCCTTATCCATATGAAGACAGGCGTGACAGGGCATTCAGGCTTACTCCCCCGAAGAAGACAGGACTTATCACATGAGTCAGGATTGCTCTAAATCTAGAGAGAGGGCATCACTGCACTCTGCTCAGCTTCTCTGGCAAATAGAGCACAGTTTTTACACGCTTAGGAAATGAGAGCCAACCCACAATCTGTGATTCCAGGGATAAAACAAAAACAAAAATAAACTTAACCTGTGCTCTTTATAACTTTAAAAACATATAAAATATCATTTCAGTATTTTCCAAAGTTTGAGCTGTACTGTGTGCATGAGTAACCCAGTGTTCTACGTGACAACCCTCAGTGAATGGCATTTTGAAAAGCTCCACATACGTACAATTTTCAGATGAGATAAGAGTCTCATAACATCTGCCATGTCTGCCAGGATGAGCAGCCGTGTGACCGCGGAGAGCAGAGCCCTGGCTGCCCGAACCATGGTGCCACGCTTCACCGAGGAGCAGGGATCATCGGCAAACTCTGAAGAGGCGATCCTCATTGTCTCGCCTGGAAGATAAACATAGAGAGACCCGTCGTTAGCCTGGAAGTGTAGATCCTGCGAACACACAGAGACCCGTGAATGGACGATGGCTGGTCTTAGTACAAATCCCTACTGCGCAGTGAGCACCACTGCCACCTCCAGCATAGAAGTACAGGAGCAGACGTGCCGGACACCACAGAGTGCTTTGAAAATCAAAAAGGACATATGTAATTCTATTGTTTTACTAATAGTGTAAATTGATTTTCCCTGAGCTTACTTATCGTCACACTACAGTTTCCTTAGGACCAATGAGACTTGTCAGGAAGCTAGCTGAGGTATAGGTCCCAGAGTGGGACATACAGTTTGTATTCGACTACTAACAACCAATTGGGGGTTCGAAATCATCTAGATGTACTGTGGAAGAAAGGCCTGGCTATCTACATCCATTAAGAGCCCAGTCATTGAAAATCTTGTTGATTGCAGCCCTCCTCTGAAACATGTGTGGTCACCATGAGTCAGTATCAAATGCAAAACAAGGGGCTTCGAGCTCACGTACAAAGGTAACTGCCTCAAATCGATGTGAAACTTAACACTTTAGCCTCGTTAACACTGTACTCTTGTTTGAGCTCGCCAGAGAAAAATAGACTACAGTGCTGTTCAACATTCATTTGTCAAATTCTTTAAAAGAGCCAACCTCTAATATAGAGATCATTTAGAGGGGAATTGAGTCAATTCAGCAAACATCTTTCAAGTACACGCTTGTATCAGATCTGTACTGAGCTCTGGGATTACAAAGGTGACTAAGTAGGTGCTGGCCTCAACAGCTCTCAGTCTAATGAGGAAACAGGCATATAAACCCAAATATAATATCCTAACCTTCCAAGACAGGCATGTGGTTAAGCACATAGACAAGTGAGCTAAGGGGGTACTTGCTCACTTAGGGTGGGGCTGAGAGAAGCTGTCAGCTTTGAGGGCCAAGATGGCAAGGTGGTAAGGGCATCCCAGGGCAGCAGAAAACCTGTGCAGGGCTCCCAAACAGGAGCAGGATCCTGAGTGCAGGGCACGGCCCAGCCGAAAATGGAAGGGACAGAGCGGAGCCGGAAGCACTTAGCAAATGGGTTTTGAACTGTACCCTTAGCCACCGGGTGGCCATGCCACCCAGTTAAGAAAAAGGAAGTAGCATGAATAGAGTCTCAGGCTTGGAATATAATTTGGCCCCAAACAGAAATTAAAATGAGGGCAGGACAAGAGTAGGGCAGGGAATCCCATTACAGCGGCAGCGGGCTGTGCCGGCAGTCAGGACCATAAATGGGAGTGCTATGCAAAGCGGAAGAGGGTGCTGACAAGACAGACCTGTGTGGCCAAAGCGACAGATCGGGTGCTGGGTTCAGAGGGGGTGGGGCTGGAGATGAACATTCTCCCAATGCAACCACCGGGTACAGGTCTGCACAAAGGACCCCGCGAGGAGGGAGCGGAGAGCGAGAATGGGCTAGGATGACGCAGCTCCTCCAGGATTGGGGAGACCCACCCAGGGTTGGTGAGAATGCCGGAAGAAGGGGCATACTGCAGAGAAATGGAAGTTTTAAGAAACTAAGGAGTGTACAAGGGACACATTCTTAAAAAGAGGGTAACATTCTTCACTATGTTATTTATATAAATGATTATTTCTCATCTCTTAAGTGCAACCTAGCTAATTTACATGAAGCCAATGAGAGTGCTGGAAATCTAAGTTATCCTTAGATAAAGAGGCGGGGTGGGGGACGAGTGGGCGGGGGCGGGGTTGTTACAGCACCATTTTATAGACAAAGCAGAACATAATATAATTCTCTCCATTAGTGTTAGAGCTATTTACATCTTCAACGATACGTTTTTTATGCTTGGGTACACACGAAAATATATTGCATTGTTGAATTTACAAAAGAGGCTACTATCAGTATATTATATTATTATATTATCAGCTAGCTCATTCCTTCTGCTTAAGCACAAAGAAACAGCTTGATATATCACAACAGCCTGTGAGGAACTTAAAACTGCGTCACTGCCTGGCATACGGGTGAGTTTTGAGTATGAGCAGTCATAGAGAGCGCCCTACCATAAGTCCTGCTCGACTACCGTCACTACTCCCCTCCACACGCCAACACGCACAGTGGGTGACTTATGGCGACAAGTGCCTTTATTCCGTTCCATTCTTCATGCTCACAACAAATTAAAAATAAGCAAATCTCTGCCCAATAAAAACACTCCTTGTTAAGGCAAAACACAACAACGCTAGACGCTGTTTAGCTTGTAAACTGCTGTCGGTTCCGCTTCCTATGTCACTAGAAGGATGGCAATGACGGGCGATTGTGCAGAAGCCGGAGGTGGGGTCGGCTCAAACATAGAGAAAGGCAGCCATTGCTAAGCAAGGGGGCGGAGGGGGAGCACGCAGAGAATGAAGCCTGGGCTGGAGGGGAGTCATTTAGGAAGCTGAAGACAGATCAGAAGGGCTCAAATGACATGGCTGCTATGCAGCTTGTCTTTTGATGGGTGGCCCTGGGTTCTGGATGATCCATGAAACATGAACTATGGTAAGATTGGAGGAAAAGGTTATGTGAAAACGATGAATGAAAGAATGGAAAAATCCAAAATGCCAGTGATCCTAGATGAAGAATAGGAATTAACTTGTTTTTTCTTTGTACTTTTTCAGTCCTGGCAAGCCCTGAGCATGTTTTCTGGAATGAAATAATGGAGGCTGGAACTGGGGTGAGGATGAAAATTAAGAAATACGCAAGCCACAGAGAAAATGCAAAGAAACCAGGAGAGTCAAGCAGGTTTAGGAAGCACACAGACGGGGGAATCTCCAAGGTAGCTACCGTACTTTCAGTAGTAAATGGCATTTTCAGCCTTTTAGTATAAAATGAAAATGTCCCACTTTGGGAATTGAAAAATGGCGGCGATTAAAAGGAGCAAGAATATAGCATCCACAAGTCCAATATCCATAGACAACCACCAGGGGACACTTGATTAGCTGTCTTCTAGCTTTATATGCCTACGTTTTAATCATCAGTTGTATGTCATATCTATAATTGCATATTCTTCTTTGTCTAATTACATAATTTTATTTTGCCTAATTATATTAATTATATGGCATATATGGATGGTTAATGTTCTTGATATTTTCCTATATCTTATAGGGTTTTTGGAGAAGGTAAGTAGAGGGAAATAGCAAAAAGTTCCAATCACCCTAATTTGTTCATTTTTTAAAAAATATGTAATTCCTGCCACAGAGCCTTTATCATATATATTTTCTTTGGGGTCTGAATCTTAAAAGATCCCAAGAATTGGAACTTAGAGAGCAATACAGAAAATGGAGTGTGTTCTTAGGCAAGAAACCATAACTGGCGGAGTGTAATATCTGACGCAGGGTCGCAATGCCTTGGCCATTTCCGCCTCTCAGACTGAATCCTCTTTTTGTGTGTGCTGCATACTTGCTGAGCCCGGGCAGGGAGACACATATTTAACAGAATTTTAAAACAGTACTTTTGTATGCAGAGCACGTGTCCTGACTGCTTTATCATTTAGGTTCTTTTGTTGAATTTTTACAACGATGTGATATTTGAAGGACACTTACTACTATCCTTAACTACTCTGCATCCTGATTCCCACGCCGCACCTCCCCCCACCCCCAGCCCTGCCAGCTAAGACTGGGGAAATACTTTCATTGATCTTTATTTGAGAAATAAAAACAAAAGACCTGAAACATTAAACGAATAACCACAGTGGTAACCACTCCAAAGAAACAGAAAAAAGACTGACGTTATCAAGGATTTGATCTTGCCTGGATCCACAAGGAAGGCTCCTAGAAACAGCGATCAAGAACCAAGCAATGCACGCAGTCGAGTCAAGGTGCTGCGCATGACCTCTCTAAAGGGTTGGGAGAAAGGGACGTTATTTTGAGGAGTTGGGTGTGCCTCAACCAAGCCAGGGTCTTTTCCATCGCCTCTAAGGAAGGCGGACAGAGGAGAATCACATTTGGATGTGGTGCTGGAGAAGCACCCTGAAGCACCGCGACCTGCCACAGGAACCCACGGATCTGACTTGGGAGAAGTCAGGCCGGAATGCTCCTGAAGGCAAGGGTGGTGAACCTGTGTCTCACATATTGTGGACATGTTAGGAGAGGCCAGTCCCCGAAGAAGGACAGCATGCTTGGGAAAGTAGCGGGGCAGCTACAAAGAAGACTTTTAACAAGCACGATGGATTTGACGATAGTGGCTCAGTCTATCCGCTCAAACATCATAGCAATCGTGAGATGGGGCAGGACTCAGTAATGCTTCTCTTTGTTGGAGATCGTGTTGCTCTCAGTCAGAACTGACTTGAACCTAACTCAAAGCACAATAGTTAACAGCCTACGCTCTGAAACCAGGCTATGAGTGTTGCCTCCACCACGTGTCTAAAGTTTAACCTTGGCACATCATCTTGGCTTTGGATTTGTTGTTTCCTCTGGTGTAAATAGTGATGAGTGGCGTATTTATTTCTTCAGCTTCTCTTCAGCAGCGAGTTGACACAGAGAAACCTCTTTGAACAGAACTTGGCGCACAATGAGTACTGATAACAGAGACATTTTTCTGTTGCAGACAAGGGAGGCATGTGATAAAATGTTAAATCCGAACACACAGGCTAATAAAACCCTGGGGCCATTCTAGAGGAGGATTTTCCACTGTTTGCTAATGTCATCAATTCAACTATGTTTGCCTAAATTAGTACCTGTTAGGCTTATCTTGGTATAGTGACCGTTTTTTTTTCTAACCGCTTTTGATGCTACCTGCATCATTCAATATTTTGCCCATAGAAATATCCTGTGTACTGTGTCACGGTCAGTGTTTGACATAAACATATGTGTCTGGACCTGTGTCAAAAGCTGAATCAAAGTAAAATGTTTCATTTGACTACCAGTCTTTCTCCCCTTTCCAGGACTGTAAGCTTAGTCAGACTAGGGGTCAGTACCATTAGGAAGCCAAAAAAAAAAAGGCCCATTTCATCATGTGGA